CACTCAAGATTTCTATATGCTGAAGACAGGTGCTGTTTATTGGCCATCACAGTTCCTTAATGCCTCTTGAAACATCAGGCATCTCATGACCAGAGTCCCAGAACATGCCTTTCCTAGGGTGCTGAGACAAACCAGCCTTTCATACTTCACTACTGACTGCTACAGCCATACTAACAACTGGTTTATGGTCAGGGACACTGAATGCCTAGCCCTGAATGCCGGTAACTCCTGTAGATGCCAGCAGAAGTTGAGGTGATGAAGCATATCATTGCAAACTGTGGCCTGCAAAGCTTTACATAAGACTTGACTTTAGTAAATGCCACAGCTGAAGTCTCTTTTCTCAGGGGTTTACTGTGAGTAAGTGACACTTCTATTATGTCTTTGACAAAGTTAAAGTGAGGAGGAGAGAAAAGGGTGGGGTTTTGCTGTTGAATATGCATTTAAGGACAACTGAGAAGTGATCTCCTTGGCTTTGTCTGCAAGTGTAAAGACTCTTACTCAAGCTGAGAAGACTGCAAGAGGATGAGTTGCTTGGGGCACCTAGGCTGAAGTCTTCAGCTCGCCACTGCTCTGAAAGCCCTTCATTGTCATACAAGAAGAAAGCACGTCTCTCTTCAAAAGCAATGCTCAAAATTTTTCAGCAGCAACGTAATTGTTTCACGAGCTGGCAAAAAGATGGAGCTGAATTAAAAAGTCCTAATGGCAGGGAAAATTTTATGGTGAAAGGCTGGTCTGCGTTGTTTGCAGATATTACTAAGAGAGAAATTTTCCGTGTTCTCCCCTAAGGTTAAACAGTAAAATGAAAAACTGTAAAGTAAGGGTAGGAAAGTTGCCAAAAAGGGGAGGTGTTGAGAGGGAGGAAAGAAAACTTCACCATTTTATAGATGCAGAGCCTTAAATAAAACTCAAAGCTTTCAATCTGCTGAGGCCCGAGTGTGGTATCAAGATCTGACGTGAGAGACACTACAGTTAAAAGAGGAAAATAAATTTTAATGGCTATGATGTGCTTTCTTTTTGCAGAAATAACTTTACTTACTACTCAGCTTCAGGAAGCTGATTTTGGCAATGAGTGGTTTACTTGAATTGTTTGTCATAGGAAAGAAAGACTTTGTCACCAGTGCAAAGTGGAAAGGGTGCTTACTTACCTCCAGGAAGCACCTTGAGGCTGTGCGCTTCTTGAAAAGCAACTGCCTAGTTATGAGCATAAAGGTGTGCTTTTACTCCAGGTTTGAGTGAGGCCTTGGCCTCACATACAGAAGGATAACAATTTCAGCAAATACATGGTATGTGCCCCAAAAGGATATAGCAGAATTACCTTGAAGTGTGATTATGTGTAGTAACAGAGTTGTCCAAGAGTGGGCTCTCAGTCATGCCGCTTCCATACACGCCAGAATTTAACCAAGCCGAGCGGGCCCGTCTCTTTTTCTTCTCTTGTTCCTTACGTTTTCCAGGCTTTGCTTTCTTTTTCTTCCCCGATACCTTCAGGGGCTGCTCCTTGTAGGTCTGTGATTTGTTTGTCTCCTGAGTTAGGTATCTGCCCTCGTCTTCACTACCAAATCGGACAGGGTAGTTCTTCGTGTTGGTAGCAGGCTTAGGGTTAGGTGAAACCTCAGAAGTTGCACGGATTTCTGCAGTGTTGACGCCTTCAATTAAATTTTGAAGGAATATTCTTCTTCGTAAGTCTTGGATTGACTTGCCCTTGTCATGCAATAGCTGGTGCTCTGATACAGCCCGTTTGCTAAAGAAAGAGAAGAGAGAAGGGGGAAAAAAACATTTAGGAATTGGTTATTGCCCAGTTTTTGGCAGAGCTCCTCTCTCCTCTGGCGGTGGTGCCCACAGTGACTGTGTACCAGCTCTCAGGCTTGGAGACATCCAGTTAAGTCAGACTGCTGGAGCAAGTCCTGCTTCTCAGAGTAGCTGCTCCTTACAGAGAAGGGAAAGACCTAAGCGGGTAATAATTCTCAGCTGACTGATCACACACCGCTGGACCTGGAGCTGGATTAGTCACTGCTCTGTTCTAGGAAAGCATTACATCTCTTAATATATCACACTTCAGGCAGTAAAAGCAGGAAGGCAGTTGTCAGAGATAGGAAAACTAAAGGGTCAGATAATGGAGCGCTGCAGTCAAGCAAGAGAGGTAATAACAAGTACTTGTACTGAAGCCGGAAGCAGTGTTTATACAGCATCATTCTAACAATTTTCTTCTGCTCAGTCATGTACTTCAAAAACATAAATAAATACATAAAAGTGCATTTCATTTCTAAATTTAAATAAGTGCAATTGCAGGAGCGTAATGGAAAAATGTTTGAATTTGAGTGCCTAAAACATAGGCACTTCAGTCCATAACGAGCTATCCAGGGAGGCAGCAGCCTGAGCATCAGCTGAGCTGAGCCTCAGCCTCTCCTGTTGAATTTACTGCTTGGCCATTTGTGTCTAATTATGGGTTTAGATGCCTTTCTAGTGTTCCTTTAGGCGTGAACTTTTGGGGTCAAATTTCTTATCTGCCGAGTTTTACGCTAGCCCTCTTCACTGGATCTTCTTCAAGAGCATCCTAGTTTGTTTGAGTGGGTCTCTGGTGCTTTTCTAGAGTTTGTGACCTTCCAGTTTGCTAGCCTCTGTCTTGTTTTTGAGGAACTGGGAGACTGTTAGCTATCTGTCTTTTAGAGATGTTGTACTGGCAAAGATGATGTGAAACGTCTGAGGAAAGAAGATACAAGTGGCACCTGGATAATAAATAACTGTGAGAAAATACATGCTTTTTCCTTGATGTGGGATAGACTCACAGCTGCACTGTGAACCTCAGAAAGAGCACAAGCTGGAATTTTAGCTACGTTCCCATGAATGTCATAATACAGTTTATCCTTCCAGTTGCCCTGCTTCACTGTGCTGAGGTTGGCTATGTATCCTCTCATCTTGCATCAGGGTACTGCATGTGACTGGATTCTTACTGGCCAAAGAAAATGAATTCACTGCCTCGGCTGTCGTATAATTGTTTGGTCAGTTAGCTGGACAAGAAGTTGTTTCTGCATGTGGGTGAAATCGGAGAAGACACCTAACTGTGAGTGAATATTCCTTCCTTCCACCCCATCCCTAATTATCCTGCTACGTTACCAGGTTTCAAAATGTGGTGGACAAAGATAGTGTGCTAAATGATTTGGAGCGTTCTGCAATGTATCTTTCCCAGTCCCTTCAGCCAAACTCTTTAGGTTTGTGATTTGATCAACAGTAGAGCTATTTGAATTTGGCAACTTTAAGTAGCATTGGTTTAAGAGCATCTCCTTCACTTTTTGTCTTTGTAGAGCTACACATCTCTATTACTCAGTGTTAAATTCAAACAGCAACTTTCCCCAATTCCACAACGAGACTGAAACATGACTGCTGTTTACTCATGAACTCTTATGTTAAGGATACTTGCTCAAAATCAGGCCTAGGTATACTCAGGTTTGTAAGCACACGTTTGACCAAACATTGTCTATGTTTTAAGTGTCCCAAAATCAGTTTTGGATGATTCAGGCTTTAGGACAAGTATTTTATGTCCTGCAATTCGATGTCCCTAAGCAAAACCACAATGTGATAATACTGATCGGAACCCATATTGTTTCTTTCTCTTCAGTGCAGCTGTGACCGTTAGCACAAGCTCAAGATCTCCCCCAGGAGATTTTTTTTGACCAGTGCGCTCCCTGAAGCTCTCTGATAGCCATCTCTAACAAGCTTCTCGTTAAGGTCAGTCTGATTTGCAAGTATGCTAATAAAACTAGCGTCTTGGACTCCTCTGCGCAGCGTACTTCTGTGCTGCCTGTCAAGCTGTCCATCGTGGCTCACGTTACACTGCTAGCTTCAGTAATTTGTTTTCCCAGGATATTTGCATGGGAAATGCAGTTCTCCTTTCACTCTTCTAGTTTATGAAAAGCATACAAAATCTTCATGCTTTACTGAGTCTAAAACAGTACGTCTCATGTGATTAGCAAAGCTTTCCTACTGCCTCTTGTAAACTACCAAGGATAATTCCTTTTATCACAGACAACCTAAAGCTGCCTTAATCCTGTAACGTATGTTTGGTCAATTTAGCCACTGTGACAAAATCGTGAATCTCTAAAGCCTGTTATTAAAGTCCTCTTGGTTGAAAAGCTATTCCATTTTACAGAGCTGAAACCTAAAGATTTGGTTCCAGTACACACAAGGCAGTCAAAGAGCATTACAAGATCCACATCTTGTGTGAGTACGTATTTCCAGAATAAGGCAGGGATTGACGTGTGAGGGGTTAGTGTGCCAAAGAGGGTGGGTTTCTGTTTAAATGTCTGCATGATATTTAGCATCAAGTCTGGCCCCAAATAACATTCTGCTATTCCAGATGATTGTATGACGTTACGTAGTGTTACATTTCACATGACTTCTAATACTCAGCCAGACCTAAGAATTACATTTTGCCTACCAATTTCCTTTGTATGCTCTAGATCAAAAATCTTCTTAAAATAAAGATGTGGTAGATACATATCTCTTTGACCTTCTGACTCCTTCTGCCTCAGTTATTCAAACAACTCATGTGTTTATAAACCAGGGAAAAAAACTTGCCCAAGAAGGCTGATGTAAGAAGTACTTCTTAATGGAGATATCAACAATATCTCACCCCCACACGCAGACTAGGAAGGCAATGGAAACTGGAATGATTGCATTCGCATATTGGGTACGGTATGTAAAAAATATTAGGCTGTTAGGGTTAAGATGACCCACTAGAGGTCCCTTCCATCCTTCTACAAAATGCGCCTCCCATTCAAGGAAAAAGAGCCTGACCCCAAACCAAGTGCAGTAAATGCGAAGCTTACATGTGGTAGGCACTTTTGAGAGAAGGATGTTGATGGTTTGTATTTGACCAGCGTGTCCAAACTAATTACTGTATCCAAGTACACTATGCACATACAAGACTTTATGTCTCATCATGGGGAAAACAGTAGAAATCCATGACTTCTGACTATTCTGACTTCATGTACTTCCAGATAAGCTGTCCTTTTTAGGCACATTCCTCCTTCATTTTTCTTCCCTAGATATCTAGCGTCACTGAGAGGCAACGTTCTCCAAGCAACAACTTTCTATCTCAGAGTTGCCCTTATTTAACCACCATTATCCTTGACTATTCACATTGAGTCTGATCATAAGTTCAGCAAAATAACTGGAAAGGATTCAGTCATCTCTCTGTCTGGATTTTGCATGACTGAGTGCCCTTGCTACTGGCTCCAAAGGGAGTGAAAGCTGCTCAACCTATCTCAGGGTTAGGAAAAATATTTTGAACAGATCTGAGGACATGATGCTGCAGCATCTGGTCACGCAGATAAAAATATCTAATTTCACTTCGAGGCATTGCTGGGTTTCTCAGAAGTTCTTTAGCAGCTAAAGTGTTTCTATAACAAATAATATTTCTGTTAATCTTTCCTTGGGACAATTTGCTATTCCTTTCCATGGGAGATATGCCTCAGTAAAATCTGTAGAACCAGGTCTATGTAATTTTCATTATTTTTGCATGGCTATAATAATGTGCTTCAGTATTTTCATCCGTTACTAGTTTCAGCCTTTGACTGAAGAAAAAAATCCTCTAGGCCTAAGTGAGTTATTAACCATTAACTCTAGGAATAGTTTGTGGTGATATTAAAACAAGACACATGTTTGAGTGTGGTGTCTGTGTTTGTGCTGTACCCACAAACAAAACTACGTGAATGCCACTAACTGACAGCTAACTGGTTTCTTGTGTGTGTTTTGCATGCCATAGCAAAGAGGGAGCTGAGAAATGCCTTTTGACTGTTTAGCTTCCACTTACTTTCCCCCCTGTCAGGACGGAATGGGGATGTTAGGAAGACCTCTAATCCTGACCTTTAAAAACAAATGTTAGAAACACACTAATTTCAAAAAGAGAAAGAGTATTTCTTAGCAAATCTAAATTTTTTTAAAATACATTTGGCTTAGTTCCAGGTCAGAGTTTCTTAGCCAAGGAAATACAGCATGTGACTGTATTTCAATTATTTTCTTTCTTTTTTTTTTTTTTTTTTATTTCTGAAACTGAAGTTTGATTACTCTGTATCCCAGGAGAGGAAAATAGTCTTGAATGAAAAAAATAGCTCAACAATAGTTTGCAGGAGTGCAAAACAGTTAAGTATTAATGAACTGGGAAGAATACACTGTAGCATGACCAGCAATAACATGTTCTACACAATTTGCTGTAGGAGATTTGTAATAGCTGTCTGCCTGGTGCCAATGTCTAGGTGTGTCTGAAGTCACTTCACCTGGGGGATTTTTTGTTGCTTAAATGGCAGAGGAAGTGCTATTTGGAGATCTTGTCCTTAGGTATGTAATAAAACACTTACAAGGAAACCCTTCTGAAATCATTTGCCATGTCATGTTTCTCTATAAGTTGTGATGGAATTTTCCAACCCTCTTTCTCCAACCTGACTGACTTCCTTTTGAACTTAGTAACAATACAGCCCTCCACCGTATGACTGAAGTGTTTCTTCCTTAGAAAATCTGATGCAAGTCCAGTGAAAGCCCGCGAATTAGATGCCTGAGACAGCAGCTCCTACATCAGTCCGGTGGCTTCTCTTCTGCACTTTGTGTAGGGGGTATTGATATAAACCATGCTGATTATTTTGGAAGGACCAAAAGGGTCATTTCCTGAACAGATTCTCTTAAGTTACATTATCATTTACCAAAAAATATGCTTCTGCCTGCAAGTCAGATACTGGACAACCTTTGGATTTTTTTTTTTTTTTTTTTTTTTTTTCTGCTGAAATGGCAGAAATGCAAAGAAACCGTTCAGTACTTCAGCTTCCTGATGTCCCTCACTACTGCGTTTCCCCTGCCCTTATCAATATTGGCTCCATGCCAGTGCCGGAGAAGTATATGGTACTTAGTGTGACATACAGCAGTTTGAGACAGCGGGATGCTCCCTGCTAGGACCCTCCCAGGGCGCAGAAAGGTGTACGGGCAGCAGCACAGGCTGGACGAGCAGACAGCTGCGTTGCTGCTCCCCACGGAAGAAAGAGATCCCTCGGCTTTAACATCTCCTTCCCCAATGCTGGATCAGTTCGGA